TCAGCTGGTGAGAGTGTGTACTCTTAACAACAAGGTTGATGGTTCAACTCCCACATGGGATGGTGGGCAGCAGCCCCCCTACCCCCGCAACTAGATTGAAAGAAACGACTGGACTTGGAGCTGAGCTTGCGCCCTCCACTACTAAGGTGGAAGGACAACAACTTGACTTGGAGCTGATGGGTCCTGGAAAACACAATGTTCCCTTTCCCTAATTCCCCAACACTGTTCCCTTCCCCAATTCCCCAATAAAATCTTAAAAACAAAACAAAACTGAGTGACATGGCTATCAGGACATTCCTCATACTCCTCCTAGCTACTTATCTATTAGGTTGTCGGAAAAATCACGACGTATTTTTTTATGTTTTTCATTGCAAAAATGCGTCATGCCTTTTCCGACAACCCAATATGTAAACAAGGCTTCTCTATCTTACAGCCACAAAAATAAGAATAGAATTGATGACAAAATTGGTTTCATTCTGGTAATCAGGGATAGTCATTCATGGATACATGAACTGATTGGGGACAGAGAGAAAGTCTCATTCATCTCATTATGAGATTCATCTTCATGCCAAAAAAAAAAACAACCAAAAAACCCCCAAAACCCACAATAAGATAAAACTACAAACGATTAAAATTTTTAAAAACCGCAAATACCAAGGTATTTGTGAGTATGTAGACAGATGAAATGATCTTACCCTGTCGATGGGAACGCACAATGGCACAGCTACTGTGAAAACTGTCTGGCAATGCCTGAAAAGATTAAACACACACTCTTACTATATGACCCAGCAATTCCATTCCTAGGTACTTCACTTACGACAAATGAAAATACTCCTATGTGTTCACAAAAAACCTATACACTAATGTTTATAGCAGCTTTGTATTCATAATCACCCCAAACTGGAACACTTTCATCTTCAACTCGTGAATAGCCAGGAACCTGTGGTATATGCATAGGAGGCCTGACAATTAAGTTCAAGAACTTGTTGCAACAACGTTGCTAACCTTTTTGTGATATCAGACGGATTATTCATTATGAATTTGTACCAGCTGGACAAACAGTGAACCAAATTTACTATTTGGAAGTGCTCAAAAGGCTGCGTGAAAAAGTTAGACGACCTGAACTTTTCGCCAACCATTCATGGCTCTTGCATCACGACAATGCACCAGCTCACACTGCACTGTCTGTGAGGGGGTTTTTAGCCAGTAAACAAATAATTGTATTGGAACACCCTCCCTACTCTCCTGATCTGGCCCCAGTGACTTCTTTCTTTACCCGAAGACAAAGAAAATATTGAAAGGAAGACATTTTGATGACATTCAGGACATCAAGGGTAATACAATGACAGCTATGATGGCTATTCCAGAAAACGAGTTCCAAAACTGCTTTGAAGGGTGGACTAGGCGCTGGCGTCAGTGCATAGCTTCCCAAGGGGAGTCCTTCGAAGGTGAGCATAGTGATGTTCAGCAATGAGGTATGGAGCACTTTTTCTAGGATGAGCTCGCAAACTTAATAATCAGACCTCGTACAGTGGAATTCTACTCAGCAATAAAAAGAAACAAACTACTGGGCCGCCCGAGTGGCGCGATGGTTAAGAACTGGCTTGGGACGCCAGAGGGCCCCGGTTCGGATCCCACATATGAGGGCCAGTGACACTGCCCTCCACAGCTAAGATGCTGAACAACAGCTTAACCTGGAGCTGGGCTGCCGTGAGTTGCAGGCAGTGGCATAGGCTGCAGCCCCTGTGGCAGTGGGTTGCCATGGGCTACCGTGTGTAGCCAGCAGCCAGCCGTGAGCGGCCAGCAGCCAGCGTGAGCGGCCAGCAGCCGCAGTGAGTGGCCGTCCAGAAGCCGGCGACTGATCTGCCTCGCCCAGGAAGAGTGCAATGATGGTGCCAACTTGGGCCAGTGAAGCAACATCCTCCACAACTAGACTGAAGAACAAAACCGACAGCAACTTGTCTGTTCCCCTTTCCCCAATTCCCCAGCACTGTTCCCATCCCCCCAATTCCCCAATAAAAATCTTTAAAATAAAAGAAACAAACTACTGATGGATGCAACAAGATGTATGACTCTTGAGACATGCCAAGTGAAAGACACCAGTCTCAAAAGGCTACATACTGTATGATTCCATTTCTATGACATTCTGGGAAAGGCAAAACTATCTGATTGGCAGAAATTATGTCTTCCTGGAGAGTTTTACTACGAAGGGGAAGCAGAAGGAAATTTGGGGGATGCTGAAATTGTTATGGATCTTGATTGCGGTTGACAGTTACTTGGATCTATACATGTGTTAAAATTCCTAATCTATACACACATCAAGCCTACTCTGTAAATGTAAATATATAAAATACATCTTAAAAGGAGATGTATTGCAATAAAGCTGTACTTCTTTCTTTGATATATACCAAAACGTGAAACATATTTTGTCCAGGTCAATTGTGTACCTCTAGCTGAATGGCAATCCTGACCCCCCCAAAAAAATCTTTATGGCCACAAGAAACAATTTAAATGTCCATTTCAATTTACAGACATTTATATTGCAGAGAAGTGCGACAGAAGGATTAATAAGACTTGAAGGTATACATTACATAACATTTAGCTAAAATTCTAAGGGGAAGAAGGAAATACACGTTCGGAGTCGGGGAGGCTAACATTTCTGATTACAACAGCTTGTTGGTGTATTTTCTTTAAATGGCCATGCGTATCCTGGCACCATCATACTGAGATCTCATTTGGCCCATTTAAAAGAGTGGCGAAGTGGTTTCACTTTGCAAGATCCACCAGGACAATATGCGGGAAGTAGTATCCTTTGCAACTATTTAAATTTACGATAAAAAACGTTTCCACCAATTTCAGACAGGGGGTTTTTAGGAGGGCGTGCTGAGCGCAACGGTGGAGGAACCAGCGGATTAGAAAGTAGGGAGCCGTGAGCCCAAACCCACAGAGGCCCCGGTCACACCGCCCCGAGAGCCCACCCTGAGGAAGGCAAGCCTTTCCTCCCACAAGTCTTCTGCGTCATCACAGCGCCTCTTACGTAATCACGGGGCCTCCGGCGTCAGCACAGGCCTCTGAAAGTAATCACGGCGCCTTCAACACCGCCACAGTGCCTCTTCCATCATCATGGCGCCTAACTTACCACGGCGCCTCCTGCGTCATGATGAGGCGACTTACGTCATCACGTCGACGTCCACATAGTCAGAGCTGGCGACGTTTAAGTCCGCACAGAGACCTCACGTCACCATGGCGATGCCTACGTCATCATGGCACCTCTCTGCGCTATCATGGTGCCTTTAGCGTCATCACAAGTGATCACAGAACCTCCAGGGTCACCACGGCGCCTCTCTGATATCACGGGCCAACAGCTTCATGCCCCCCTCCCATCACCATGGCAACGCCTACGTCATCACTGAGCCTCTGAATGGAAATGCCTCCTTGTTCTGGGCCTCCTGGGAACCTGATTCAAAGCTCTGGGCTTGCTCCCTGCAGAGGAGCGCGCAGCATCTTGCATTAACTCCCAGGCGGCGGCACCGAGCAGATTAAGGACAGGGCCTTAAACCTGCAGAAGTGTCCCTAGTGTCCAGGAGGTAGGAGCCCCCCCTACCCCACCCCAGGCCACCTGCCAGCCAGGGCAGGGCTGTATGGCAACTACTGCAGGCTCCTTCCTCCATTAAAAATATTTAAAGTTATCTATCAATAAACATTGTGATACTTGAAAAAAATATATTTTAAATGACATTTTACAACAGCATTGGTATAGATGAATATATTAAGTTTTAGAGCATTTTTTTGTCTACCTAAAAGTTTGGGGTTTTGCTTCTGATTTTCAAAGAAATGAAAGCACTTGTGTGGGCCCCTCAAAGTATTGTGGGGAGGCTCTGTGCCTGCTCTGCCCTGTGGCTAAGTGACCCTTGCTGGCTTATGGGATGGAAATCCACGTGTTGATCACCAGTGGGGCGCTCATCCCAACCCCCAAAAGCTCTGTAAGGACTCGGAGGCGGGCCTCTGCTGCCGGGTCGTTGGGCCGTGTCCAGGGAGGCTGAATGGCATGCCCAGTGACTGTGCAATTCCACCTGCTTATTTACCCTAGAGAAACTCATCCAATGGTGTTTTGGTCCCTGACACATCCCAACTCTTGGGGCAGAGTGCGGCACGTCGTAGGGAAGGAAAGAAGGTTGAGTGTGTTTGCAATAGGGAAAAACTGGAAACCACTTAGATTCCATCAAGAGGGACTGTGTGATCATCAATACCTTGGAGGCTAAACAGATTGAGGTGACTCAGTGTGTGGGAACCGAGAACAATGTCCAAGACAGGAACAAATGAATAGTGTCCAACTTGGGTGGGGCAAAAAAAAACAAGGTGATAAGTCATCATAAATAGAAATGATGGCGACTTTATGTAGCCCCTACCACGTGCCAGCTATGTGCTAAGCATTTCATGTATTACTATGCCACTCTAAGAGGTAGGTACTAGTCTCTCCATTTTAAAGGTGCAGAAATTGAGCAGTCAAGTTTGATTTGCCTAGAATCACAAAACTAGTAAGGGCAGAGCTTAGAGTCAAACCCAGGCCATCTGGCTCCAACCCATTCTTAACCACGTCTCTTTCCTGCCATGTATGTAACAAGAAAAAGCAAAAGCCCAGAACAATACTCCACAGCTCCTACAGGCATGTTGATTTGTACATGAACGCACAGAAAAAAACCTGGCAGGTTCCATGCCAAAGTGGCAAAGGTACTTAACCTTTGGTGGTGTTCAAGAGGGCCATGGCACCCACTCTTTCTAAACAAGACCTGCATTCATGCAATATTTTTATAAAATGTTAAATACACACAACATTGAAATTTTAAAAACAGAGAGGCAAGTCAGCAGCCCAGCCCATGAGAGACGCTCGTGGCAGCTTCCAGAAAGGAGCTATTGACCAAGAGCCCAGAATTTCCCAGGAGGCTGCCCCCTCGCCCCTCCCTGACCCCCGCCAACAAACAGGCTGTCACAGACTCAAGTGTTCGCTTATTTAAAAGGTTTATTACTTCAATAGTGAATTGTTTTTAAAAGGTGATAAAACTCATTTCTCTTCCAGTAGAAAAGAGACAGAGGCTTGCCCCAGAGACTAGAAACCCCAGATGGATGAGTCCCCACCCGACCAGACGCCAGGCTGCCGGGGCCCAGGCCTACTCCACCTCTGCCCCAGCACCTAAAAGTTGAGGGTCCTTGTCAGGGGGCAGCTCGGGGCAGAGCCTCCCGCCGCCCGAGGGAGTGGCTGGCTCAGTATACAGGACAATGTCAGTTGAGCTTGGAGGAAAGGGGCCCCAGACACCCAAATCCAGTGCCTGTGTAGGCTTCAGGGAGACCAAAGTCCGGAGCAGACCCACGAGGCATCTGTCCCTCACGCTGGTTTCTGAGGCCTGTGTGAAGGGGCTGTGCCCCCAGCCCAGGTGGGTACAGTTGGCCAAAGCTGGGCGCTGAGCCCACAGCAGCTCTGCCCACCTGGCTTTGGCACATGAAGTCTGCCCTCCCAGGGTTCAGGACAGTGGCCTGCCCCTTGGAGTAAGAGCTTGTCCCACTGGGTGAGCCACCAAGCAGAGGCTGCAGTGTTTCAAAACGGATGGAGAGGCAACTGGGAGAAGTAGTCTAACGGCTGAACAGGCTCACCCAAGGGAGAGGACCCAATGCCCACAGCCCGTGAGTGACTTGGAGAGAAGGTTCCAGATCAGTCCTTGTTGACGTGCTTCTCCTCGAGTCCTCTCAGCAGCAGCGCCATCCCTGAGTGTGTCTGCACACACCTGCGCACGCATGTGCATACATGTGTTGCGGCTGTGTGTGCAGTGTGCGGACGTGTGTGTGGCAATTGGGAAGTTCAGGCTTTGGGACTGGTGGGCTGTCCGCTGAGAGATTCCTGCAGAAGTGGGGTGAAGGGGCTGGGGAGCAGGTCTGGCTGAGCGGCCGGGCCAGGCTGGCTCTTGGCATCTTCCGGACCCTGTGGAGAAAGGGGGAGCTGAATCACCACACCCAGTCACCAAGCCCTACCCACACCCCCAGCCCCGCCCTGGTCTGTCCACCCACGTCCTCCAAATGCACAGAAAGCCCCCTTCGCCTCCTTGTCGGCAGCACCCATCTACCAAGCTCAAGGTGAGAAGAGCTGGAGTGACCTACAGACTCCTGCAGTGCAGTTCCAAAGGGGGTCCTGATCTCACCAAACACCATCTTGCCCTGCCCTCACCCCATTTTAGAGATGGGGAAACTGAGGCCCAATATAGTGAGATGGGCAGAGCAAGGAGTCCTGGGCTTATATGCAATATTGTCAACACAGAAAAACTGGAAATAACCTAAATGCCCGTCAATAGAATGCATTTTTCAAATATAGTCACAAGATGATACTCAGCCTAGACAGCAGTCACAAACGGAAAATTGAGGAGGGGCCGGCCAGCTGCAGAGCGATATGTATACTCTATGACACCACTGAGATAAGGTGCAACAGGACAAAATAGTCACCATTAGCGTTAACAAGGAATGTTAAACATGTTAACAATTAATGCTATCGAGTCTGGATGAGGGGGAACTCAGAGATTGTCATAGTCTAGTTTTACTAATGTCTAGTTTTACATTTTTTAAAAAATTTCTCAACTTAAAAAAAACACTTAAAGATGATAAGCAATGATGATAAGAACATGGGGCAATTTTCCGTCCCCTAAGCCTTCTGTCTCCCTTCCCTGAAGGACAGAGGTCGTCTTGCCCAGCAGCTGTGGTTGGAAAACCCCAAATGCCCCCACCCCCTTGTGCCTCGTTCCCAAGCACCAAGGGCCCGCTTTCCCGCATGGTGGGGAAAACCAAACCCCCGATTCTGGGCAGGACAAAGGGGAGGGGGGACTCCTGGCTTCTCTTCCTCTGGAACAGGTCCCAGGCTTGAGCCATATTCAAGCCACGGCCAAGGCGGGAAGGGTGTGAGCACCCACCCACACCCTTCCCGGACACACAGCACCCCACAAGGGCAGCAGGGGACAACCAGGGGTGGCCGGAACCAGGGCCCAAAGAGCCATGACCTGGGGAAGCCTCACTCAAAAGTAAAAAGGGGGGCCGGCCGAGTGGCTCAGTTGGTTAAGAGCACGAGCTCTGAGCAACAGGGCCGCCGGTTCGATTCCCACATGGGCCAGTGAGCTGCGCCCGAGCTGAGCTGCCAACAGGCGGCCGGATGGCTCAGTGGTTAGAGCTGTGCGCTCTGAGCAACAAGGTTTCCAGATGGTGGACTGTGCCCACCCGCAACTAAGATTGAACACGGCACCTTGAGCTGAGCAGCCGCCAGCTGCCGACAGGGGGCCGGATGGCGACTGGACTTGGAGCTGAGCTAGCCGCGCCCTCCACCACTAAGACTGAAGGACAACAACTTGGCTGTTCCCCTTCCCCAATTCCCCAGCACTGTTCCTCTTCCCCAATTCCCCAATAAAACCTTAAAAAAAAAAAACAAAGTAAAAAGGGGAAACTATTTTCCCAAAGATGACATGTGGTACAAACTCTCAAGAAGCAGAAGATGAAGCAGATTCCTCCTCCTCCTGTTCCCTTCCGCTTCTATCTGACTGAGGCATGAGGACTCCGAACGGGAGACAGATGAATGAGGAGGTAAGAAAGGACCAGTAACACTTCCCTGAAGGGCTGCCCTGTACAGTTGTCCAGGCTGTTCACTGCACAAGGGCACCTAGCCAAAGGGGCTACAAATGGGCTGTCGTGCTCTGTTTGCCAAGCCCTCTCTGCCCTAGAGCTGGCTGTGTCTGCACAGAGGGGCTGTCTTTTTCTTATTCACATAAAAATACCCTTCTGGGCTATTGGAAGCCCTGTTTCCTGCCTTCTCCTCAGCAAGGCAGCCCCAATGCCCAGGTGCAGACAAGGTGTGAGGCCTCCCCAGGAACCCAGGCCAAGACTCAGTACCGGCTAGAGGCTGCCCTGCATGGATTCCATGTGTCCAGGACCACTGGCTCCTTCCCAGGTGCCTTCCCCGAAGTCTACAGGACCCTACAGGACTGCACTCCCCAAGTACATGGGACTGGGGGAGGGGTGTCATCCAGGGTGCAGGCTGAGCTGCCTTCCAGGGGGCAGGGCAGTAGAATCTCTTTAAGTCAAAAACTTCCCTAATAACTTGAAAATTGGATTCTTTTGGCAAAATAGGGGAGCCCCCGGGCTTGCTTTTGTTTGTGGGGGGGGGAGGTGCAGTCACGGGGCTCTGACCTCACACCCACCAGCTCTATCTGTGCTCAAGCCAATAACTCCTTTCTCTACGCCCGAGGACTGCACCCCTGCATCCCGAGAATACTAAACAGGTTTCTATACAAGGGGAGCGTGGCTGGAAGGGGGCATGGGTGCCAGTGGGGCCAAACTGTGCCTGACAAAGCATCCCAGAGGAATTCTTGGGAGAGAGGCAGGAAAAGGGGGACACGTCTCCAGCTAGGATGCCCTGCCCCCAAGCCCAGGGACCAAGCCCTCAGGAGGTCACCCGCTTAATGCTCATCCCCAACGTGGTGAGGCTCTGCTCTCTTACTCCCAGATCACAGGAGGAACCTCCCATAGCCTGGTGGGGGACACAGCTGTCCCTCTTCCACCTCCTCGCCCTCGAAGTGCTTGGCAGCACCTGCCAGCACACG